CTCAATACTACCTACCCTTCCACCTATCTTTGTATCATCTGCAAACTCAGCCAGAATGCCCACAGTTCCTTCATCGAGATCATTAACGTATAAAGTGAAAACTTGTGGTAACAACAGTGAACCTTGTGGAACACCATCCTGAGAAGGACCCTTTTATCCCCACACTCTGTGTTCTGTCAGACAGCCAATCTTTTATCCACGCTAGCACCTTGCCTCTAACACCATAGACTCTTACTTAACTCAGCAGCCTCCTGTGCGACACCTTGTCAAAAGTCTTCTGGAAGTCCAGGTAGATAACATCCATTGGCTCTCCTTGGTCTAACCTACTTGTTACAAGGTCAAGGCCCTGTACGCTCTCGTGCAGTCACTTTAATTAATGCTAGGAGACAATGTAATTGTTAAAAGGCCATAATGATCCTTCAGCCTTACATCCCTAATATGTGCTTCAATTCCTTATGCAGATTCCAAATACAGATTTAAAAGGCCGGGAGGGGGGTGTTGATTGGCTCTCACCTCTCGGAAATCTTGCTCAAAGTGTCGAAATTGGAGGCATTGTTTGAGCTTCAGCTGGTGCTTATTCCAAAATTCATCAAAGGCTATTTCAGTTTCATTCAATTGAGCAAGCAACCTACAAAACAGAAGGAAAAGACAAGGTCCAGACCTTGCACCATCTAAAGAGGAATAATGGAAATTTGCCCTTAAAATACTAGTTTGTGAATCTTTCCATTGGAACTAAGTCGGCCAAATAAACTTTGTCCCATTCTCATAGCCATCTGTTATTTAAGTCATAAATTAGTAGGAACATTCAAAGCTGAAAAGGTGCCACTTGACAGAAATACCCATCTCTGTTTAAATCATGGAGTGGCTTCTCAGAGAATGGTATTCTGTCAGAAACCCAAAAGAGGGCTCACCACAATGTGTGAATAGTCCATCACAGAAATGTCATCAATCAGCCCTGCAGGGATATTAAAACCATTCTTTCCTTTCAACCAGAACGGGATCCTTCCAATTTTGCTGTCAATGGAAGATACAACCACTGCCATTCTGTCCGAGGTTCAGTACAAGCGCACCGAAAGGTCTGCTCATTTCAAGGGTCATAGAGCACAAAGCGAGTTGAAGAAAGGTGGGAAGGTATTGGTTTGGAATATAAATGCTGGCATGGACCATTTGGGCCAAATGACCCATTTCTGTGCAATAACATATATTAAAAACTGCAAATATGAGAAATCTGAAATGAAAAGAAAGCCCCAGAAATGGACAGCATCTGTGGAGAAAATAGCATAGTTCATTTTTGGGTTAGAGCCTGGATTAAACCCAGCTCTTATGGAGAAGGCAGGCTCACACATTTGCCTGCGTTCATTTTACAGAGGCTGACCAATCTATTGTGTGGCTCCAACAATTTTTATTCCAGGATCAGAAAACAATCAACTGTAATTTCTTCAGTGACTTCTTAGCAGAATCAGTTCCATATAGGATGCGCTCAATACAGTGCCTGGTGAAACAGACAATATTAAAGTTGAAACATCTTTTCGGTACATCGTGATTATCTCTCTGACAGCACTGCAGTGCAAGATCTCCAAAAAGGGTTAAGATCCAGAAACAATGGTCCTGGTCTCAGCTTATTTGTCATCTCGTTCTCAGGCATTTCCTACAACAGAAGGTGCAGGCAAATCAGAAGTTCTCGAAATTAATGCTAATGAACTGGTCTTTATAACGCACTGTATGTTTGTACCCCACAATTCACCTTTCCACGGTGGTCTGATGATCCAACTCATCTGCGTTCAATTTATGATCTGGATTCGTGTCAACTGGTTCCTGGATACTGGAGAGGAGGGTGGAGCCATGTCTGCGTGCCTGATTTAGATCATCCTTTTAGAGAAGAGAGAGGGTAAAAACAATTAAAAAAACTGATGGGTAAAAATCAGAATTCTAGCTTAAGTTATGGGATTCTAATATTTTCAACCGAGAAAAAAGTAATGCTGCTGATTCACTCCATAATTTGACATTTGGAGTCAGTGTGAATATTTGTTTCTGATTTAACTCCTCACACTGATGCCAAAGTTGGTATTGAAGTTTTCAGTCAGCGTTCGGTTATCTGATTATTGGCTCGTCTACAGTACCAAGATGCACAACTTTCACATGAAACTGCTGGAAATATCCACAATAAATTTGTGGCAATGAGTGAATTATTTCCAACTCAAAAAAAAAAATTGTAGAACATCATAGCAGAAATACAATGAGGGTCCAAAAAAGGTGAAGGGAGAGAACATTCACAAATTCAAGTTCACAAATTCCAAAGTGAATGCACAAGTATATTTTTCAATAAAGAAGCACGCAGTGGTAAGGTTTAGAATTGACTTGATGGGGATTTGGGAGTAAAGGACATAGGGCATCACGGTGGCTCAGTGGTTAGCACTGCAGCCTCACAGTGCCAGGGACTTGGGTTCAATTCCACCCTCAGGCAACTGTCTGTGTGGAGTTTGCACGTTCTCCCTGTGTCTGCGTGGGTTTCCTCTGGGTGCTCCGGTTTCCTCCCACAGTCCAAAGATGCATGGGCTAGGTGGATTGGCCAGGCTAAATTGTCCATAGTGTTCTGAGGTGTAAGTTAGGTGGATTAGCCTCTTCGGAGGGTCGGTCATAGATCATAGAATAGAATCCCCACAGTGTGGAAACAGGCCCTTTGGCCCAACAAGTCCACACCAACCCTTGGAGCATCCCACCCAGACCCATCCCCCTATAACCCACATACCCCTGGACACGACGGGCAATTTAGCACGGACAATCCACCTAACCTGCACATCTTTGGACTGTGGGAGGTAACTGGAGCACCCGGAGGAAACCCACGCAGACACGGGGAGAATGTGCAAACTCCACGCAGACAGACACCCGAGGGTGGAATCGAACCAGGGTCCCTGGTGCTGTGAGGCAGCAGTGCTGACCACTGAGCCACCCTGCCACCCCTTACTGTTGAGTGCTCTGGAGTGTTTATCTCCTTGGTAATCCTCAAATACTTTAATTCTTTGTGAATGGTGACATACCAGGCAGTAAGTTATGCACTATAGAATTTTCAGCCTCTGACCTCTTCCTGTAGCCACAGTATTGATATGGTTGGTCCAGTTCTGTTTCTCGTCAATGGAAATATCCAGGATGTTGACAGGACAGAGAGCGGCAGCAATGTTAATGAATACCGCCGGGAGATAATTAGATTTTCGCTTGTTGAAGGTGACCTCATCTGGAGCTTGTCTATTAACTGCCTGGTTCCCATCCCTTCTGCTTCCAGCACCCGATTAGAATCTCAACAAACAACTCTATCCTGGCCTTGTTACATTCGACTTCACCCAAAATTTGGTGTGGACTCATTGGGCCAAAGGGCCAGTCCCACACTGTAGGGATTCTATGACATTAGAATGTAAGGAATAGTTCTAAATTGAATTTTCATAGGCTCAGAACAAGGAGATGGTGACACTAATTAGACAGAGGGGATTATACTCATTACAAATAACTTCAGTATTGAATTTTTTTTAGTTGCAGATGACAATGGATACATGTTCAGAGTGGAGTGGATTGGTTAAAATGTAATAAGGACCAAAGTAAGGTCAGGTCTTCTACCTGCTTCCAATGTGGGAATGACAATGTGATTAAATCACTAAAAAGAATGGCAAGTTCCTGTAAAATAGCTAATGTAAACCATTTTATTTCAATTGATAGTATATCTGTGCTAATACCATTAATGCAAGGGTTTATATGAAACTGAGCAAGAACATGACAAAGCAGTTGTTTTCAGTATGTCGGTGGATTTGCAACTTACACAATCCATACGTTATTGTACCCCTTTGATAAGATCTAACTTCTCCAAATCAAAGTACAGTGATATTATTTGCAACAGGAGATAGTAGTTTAAATAAGGAAAAAAATGTTATCATCAATTAGGGCTCTTGTGGCACAGCGGTAGTGTCCCCACCTCTGAGCTACTAGGACCGGTCCAAGTCTCACCTGCTCCAAAGTAACACCTCTGAACAGGTTGATTAGAAAATATCGAGAAGTACATCAGCTGTTTGCTCACCCACCTTTTCATAGGTTAAAAATCCTGCTGAAAGATTCGGTAGGAAGGAACAATGGGAAACTTTTAGAAGAGATCAGTGATAAACATGATTTACATTTGATAAGACGACACGACCATGGCCTACAGTGAGACTCTTTTAGGAATGGACTTCAACAAATTTGTAGCCATGTAAACTTGAAGGTACGTCTGTTGATTGTAACAGGGTCAGCCAGGTGGACCTCACAGAATACGAGTTCCCTGACTGAACCCGATTAACAGCCCCAATCAGGGAGCCCTGGCTGACAGATATCAACAGGAGTGTCAGAGGTTCTGTTCACTGAGACAGAGCTGGATGAGTATCAAGGACTGTACACGTTTAAATAAAGTGTGACTTGGTGACAGAATACTGGCATCTGTGGTGTTATTTGGTGTGGGTTAAGGAAGAAAACATTTTCATCTTGCATTTCATAGCATGACAACTAGATTTAGTCAGTCAATAACTACATGGAACTGGGTGAGAGAAGAGGGGGGAGCTGGGGGAAGAGAAGGAAGAGAGAAGGGGGATAAACTGGGAAAGAGCGAGCGAGAGAGACAGCGCGAGAGAAGGGAAAGGATGGGGAAGAAAAGGTAGAGAGAGGCGAGAGAAAGTGAGAAGGGGGAAAATCGGGCTGAGATAGCAGGGGACTGGGATGAGAGAGATGGGAAAAGGAATGACAGAAAGGGGTGAGGGGTGAGGAAAAGGGGAGGTGTAAGGGTGAGAGAGATGAGAAAGAGTGAGGGGTTAAGAAAAAAAAAGAAGTGAAATTTGGCACTGCATATAAAAAGTTTGTTATAGGTACAGAGTAGTATTTATTTAATATTCTAAAGGAAATCTTGCACAAAAGGCAAATCTGAGAAACGTTGGCCCATACAGCATTATGTAGCTAACTATTCTCTTCTGGAAAATGTACCTTCTGCAAAGGGTGCTGATGAGGAAGGTTTTCAGAATTGACCTTGTTAGCTAAAGGACATATTGGAAAGAGATTTGAAAATAAAGTGGGTTTGTGCAATTCACTAAATGTTACTGTTTCACCAAAAAACATGTTTTCTCCAAGAAATTACTGGAGATCCTCATTGTGGGTCTGCAGGTGTTATCGGAAGTTGATTGTATTATACAGAATATGAAATAAAGACAATTTTATTTTTTGATCTGTGGTATGAAAATGGAACATAAACATTATGAAAGAAATCACTGTTTACTTTTCGTTAGTTTCGTTCAAGGTTTTTTTGTTTGTCTTCAAAAGTTTTTATTTAGAGTAGGAAATCTATTAGTAGAGCAAGTTATTGGGGTTAATCAATTAATTAGCTGGGTGGGATGCCTTCCAACTCCATATTGATTTTGCCCTCGGCCCCTCTCCCTACTTCTCCCTCACCTTTAACGGTCCGCACTGCCCTTAATGGGCTTTGGATACAAATTATTCAATTGGAAAACACAAGTGATTTAGTGATGGTGGTTTTAAAAAAAAAGCTGCACAAGAACACTTCTGGATTAACCAAAAAAAAGCTAGGTTGGACTGGTACATGGAAGGATCTGCAAGAGTGAATGGGGAGCACTTGTAGCACAGTGGTAGTGTCCATACCTTTGAGCCAGGAGGCCTTTGTTCAAGTCCAACCTGCCCCAGAGTTGTGTCAGAACATCTCTGGGCAGGTTGATTGGAAATCAAAGAAAGATTGAATAGCATCATGTATTTTCACTAATATTGGAAACACGGGTTATTAAAAAGTGATGGTGGATGATAAGGGAGAAGTCCCACAGGCAATTTGGTGGCGGGGTAAAAGGTCACTTGATTGTGTCTGATAAAACTGCTGGATATAATTTAAGAAAAAGACCAAATAGTGAAGGGCTCTTGGTGGTAGTGTCTCTACCTCTGAGGAGAAGGCTTGAGTTCAATCCTACCTGCTCCAGAGATGTGTCACAACATGTCTGAAGAGACTGATTAGAAAATATAGAAAGACTGAATAATTAATTAATTCATTCATTCATTCATTCATTCAATCACAAAAGGAAAGTAAAAACCAAAAGAACTGCAGATGCTGTAAATCAGGAACAAAAACAGAAGTTGCTGGAAAAGCTCAGCAGGTCTGGCAGCATCTGTGAAGGAAAAAACAGAGATAACGTTTCCGGTAGGCCTTCCGGAGCTCTGAGGAAGGTGTCTTGGCTTAAGTCTCACTGACAACTTGAATCGCAGCTAATCAATGGTGAGCAAGTGGCTCAGGCCCTATGTAGGAGGTTGTTGATAAGGTCATTCTTACACCCGTTCACACACTCAATGATGAATGGAAGACGAGACAGTTCAATAGCAAGTCTTTCTTTTTCAACAACATTGGAACATTAACATTTTATCACTTGTCAGTTCGGCTGAGGTAACATTGCGCACATTAAGGGATATTCTATTTGTGATGACAATTACACTCTAGTTTTCATCCAAGATGGGCATAGCAGGTGGCATCTAAATTGAATTTCATTGCAATTAAAAATTCAATAGAAGGCAACTAAAACAAATAAATTAAGAAAGCAATGAGATTATAGTGTAGCCAATAACCCTGAAAAAAAGATACAAACTCAGCCACAAAGACATAAGGCAAGTAAAATCTTGCTAATGTTTGTTTATATTTAATGTCCTAATTGGAACAACTGTTATTAGGATGGATTAAGTAGTAAGAATGAATTCCACATTTTGCCTAAAGTAGTGTCTTATTATCTTTTTGATAGTATTTCCATTCAGATGATTAAAATGGAAGATGATTAATACTTAATTAATTTCATAATTTTTGCATGAATCCTGAAAATCACAGAAGTCTGTGATAAATGTCATATGTCCGGGCTGGCATGGATAATGCCGATCCTTATAAAACCAGTCAGAATAAAAGCTATTTGAAAAGTTAAATCATAATTATTCCCAACTGTAAAATAGGCAGATATTTGCTGCTACCATCACCACAGTGAGATGTCAGGTGTCCTTTTTTAGATGTTCGTTTAGCATGATAAGATTACACGAAACAAAACGTGATTACTGAATTCATGTTGCAGCTTCAAAGGGCATTCTAACAGCATAGAAAGCTTCAGAAATATCTTACATTTTTATGCTTGTAAGCTCACTGGAGTGATGACATAGAAGGTGTACATTACATTGCAGTTTTCGTAAGGGTGGCATTGAAAAAATGTTTTTGCTGTTACCTGCTATTATCAGGTTATTGAAGGTCTAATTAAAGGCTCATGCCTGTCTGAATTTGAGTTTTGTTAATGTGTGTCATTATATATACAGGAAATAGTAAGCACCAGAACTGATTTCAAAGCATACTTTGCAGCTCATCACAATACATAATCTCTCCACGGTATTTAATTTAGTTAACGTCTTTTCTGCACATATGCATTATAGCATGCTGTGTGGTTAAACAAACTCTTTCCCAAATGCACTTACTCATATCATTGCATGCTGTACATTACCTTCATCCTATCTCGCTTTTGGGTGTGCGTTGTCATAAGACCCAAAGTTGTTGTCACATCATTTGGCAGATCAGTTTCAGCCAACTCTGTTCCAAAGGCCTGTAGCATTTGTGCAGTTTCTTTTACCATTACAGCAAAATTTTCAATACCCTAATACAGAGGATACAGTAAATATATATTAGAATAAATCAGGCTAGATTTGGTATGACAGAAAAACATTTATATGTAAAAAATACACATCTGTAAATATGAATAAAAATTCAGGTTCCAAGTAAACAACAATGAAATTGTAAATCAGAACAAACAAATTCCTTTATTCAAAGTGCTCACAATTGTGGCATCAGTATTAAAATGCATGAAATATAAGAGATAGGTCATATGTTTGAGGTGCTGATTTTCTTATGGATTTGTACTCAGTTGAGTTGGGAACATGCTCCTGCTAATGCATGCTGTTAATTTCAATTTGTTCCACTGCTGTATTAAAGATAACGCTGAAGCATTGACAGCACAATCTTCCGCCAGAAGTGCTGAGAGAATGATCCATCTCAGCCACTTCTAGAGGTTTCTAGCACATCACCAGTCTTTAGCTAGTTTGTTTCACTCACTGTGACCAAGAATAGACTGATGGCACTGGGTACACACAAATTTCTGCTCTTGACAGAGTTTTGGCCATAGTACTGAAGACTTGTACTCCCAAACTTGCCATGCCTGTAACCAAGCCATCCCATTGCTGGCATCTACTCAGCAATGTGGAAATTTGCCCAGGTATATCCTCTACAGAAGTAAATAATTCAACATGCCAACTACTGACCAATAAGTCCACTCCCAAACATCAGCAAAGTGATGGACAGTTTCATCAACAGTGCTACCAAGCATCATCTACTCAGCAATAACCTGCTATCTGAGGGTCAGTTTAGTTTCCACCAAGTCCACTCCTGACCTCATCAGAGCTTTGGGCCCAAACATGGACAAAAAAAGCTGAATTCCATGCACGAGGTGAGAGTAACCATCCTTGGCATCAAGGTCACAATTAACCAAATGTGGCATCAAGGAACCCTAAAAAGCTACAGGCAATAGGAATCAGGGAAACCCCTCCACTGGGTGGAGTCTGAGCTAGCACAAAGCAAGATAGTTATGGTTGTTATCTCATTCCTGGGATATCACTGCAGGGAGTTCCTCAGGATAATGTTCCAGGCCCATCTATCTTTAGTTGGTTTATTAATGACATTCCCTCTACTATGAATTTAGAGTTGGAGATGTTCGCTGATGATTGCATGATGCTTGGTGCCTTTTGTGACTACTCAGATACCGAAACAGTCCATATGCTATTGTGTAGGCTTGGGTTGACGAGTTGCAAGTACCATTCATGTCAGACAAGTGCCAGGCAATGACCATCTCCAGTAAGAGAGCACTCAAGCATTGTCCCATGACATTCAATGGCATTACCATTACTCAATCTCCCCCTGATAACCTCCAGAATGTTGAAATTGATTAGAAACAAAACTGGACTGGCCACATAAATATTGTTGCTACAAGAACAGGTCAGAGGCTAGGAATACCGCAGGGAGTAACACACCTCCTGACTCCCCAAAGCCTGTCCACCACCTACAAGTCACAAGTCAGGAATCTGATGGAATACTCCCCACTTGCTTGGTTGATTGCAACTCCAACAACACTCGAGAAGCTTGACACCATCCAGAACAAAGCAACCTGCTTGATTAGCACCATACTCAGTCCCTCCACCACTGACATACTGTAGTAGCAGTGTGTATATCTATAAAAAGCCCAGCAGAAATTCACCAACACTCCTCCATGCATAGCTCCTTCAAAAAAACAAGGACGGATACCACCTATAAGGGCAAGGGCAGCAAACACATGGAAATACTATCCAAGTCCCTGTCCAAGCCTCTGAACATCCTGACTTGGAAATACATCACTGTTCAGTCATCGTGGCTGAGTCAAAATCCTGGAACTCCCTTCCAAACACCTTTGGGGATGTACATACAGCAAACGGACTGCTCACCACCTTCTCAAGGGCAATTAGGAATTGGCAATAAATAATGGCACAGCCAGTGATGCCCACATGTCCTGAATGAATAAAGAAAATATATATTGCTCACTATCCTTTAGGTAAGCTTCTGTTAATGCTCCAGCTGCTACAGGGGCTAAAATGTTCTGTGCTCAACTAATTATGAGTTTATTTGTCTAATCTAGGATGACAGGAAAATGCAACAGAATTCAGCTATGCAAATTGGAAAGCAGGGAATATCTTAAAGTGTCCCAACCGAAGAATATCTGTTGCTCACATGGTCAAATTGCTTGCCAATAGATACCAAAACCAAGTGAAGAAGTTATTCGGATGAAGTATTGATGGGCAGCAGGATTTGTAAAATTGCTACACCAGCCTATGGGGCTAAAATTTACACAGGCATGATGGATCGTGTGGCTTCCTCCTGTAATATATGTGCTGTAATCGTAGAATCCCCCTGAATGGCCATTCAGCCCATCCATACTCCCCTCCAAAGTGCATCCCACCCACACCCAATTCCCTACCCCATAACCCTGCATTTCCCACGGCTAATCCACGTAGCCTGCACATCCCCGGAAAATATGGGCAATTTAGCATGGCCAATCCACCTAACCTGCACATTTTTGGATTGCGGGAGGAAATACGCAGACACGGGGAGAATATGCAAACTCCGCACAGACAGTGTGGAATCGAACCTGGGTCCCTGGCGCTGTGAGGTAGCAGTGTTAACGACTGAGCCACTTTGCTGCCCCATATAAATAAGCATTTCAGGCAGAAAGAAGATAGGGCAAAACTGGACACACTTTGTTTGGTCATCATTGTATAAAACATTTGGATTTCAGCAATTACTTATTCAAAGTCACCTGTTTCTCTTTTTTCTCATGTAATATGAAAAATGTCATGTAATATGTCAATAAACCAAGATGATGTACATCAGTCTTGGTACCCAATATAAGGCAAAGTAATTAGCCTAGCTCACAAAGGACCATAAGTAGTTCTCTCCATTAGATAGAGACATTTGGATATACAGGGCTGAATTTTACGAAAAATTGGCTGTGTAAATTTCAGGGTGTTTCAGGGTGAGTTTCTCTCCATGAGCTCAAGCCTGTTAACTAAGGCATTTCTCTACTTCATTATGCATGCACCACATCCCTACAGTGCTGTGCCCACACCATCATGAGCTCACCATTGGCAGAAGTACTCGCCCCTGCCAGGACCTTCCGGGTTTGTGCCACTCACGCCATAGTTAGACCAGCTGTGCACTAGACCGAGCAATAACTCTTCATAGTACGCACAGTGGGAGGACAACAAAAAAAGTAAAAGCTTCTCAAGATGTACAGGTTACACGGGTGGCACTTCATTAGAAATACAGTCCTACAATCATAAACCTATTGCATCTTAACATCATCGCCCGCGTGACTGTCTGTTGTAATAACTGCAACTACAGATGCTACTGTTCTGAGCGCTGTAAACCATTTTAGAATCCTGTCTGAAGAATGAGTACCACTCTTTCCCTAGTGCCCAGCATAGCAAAATAAATCGGGCATTGTTCAACGTGGGAACATCATATATTGGGAAGCTTTCAAACAGCTGATAATGTCAACTCTCATTCAACAATGGAAAAAAGTGAAGAATGGAAACAAAAAAGAGAGAGATTGGCAGCTCTAAGGAATGGCAGAGGCACTACGGTTGCAATGATCGCTGCCAGTACAAGACGCTGAATGTCAGACAACATTTGAGTGACCGTGAGGAGATTTCAAGGTGGAGTCGCAGGGGAGGTGGGTGGGGGACTGGTTCTCTGCAGGCCCCTACTTCCCCATCCCAGGTCCCTCAATTAAGCTGTTTGAATGAAGGGCATGCAGGTCACCCTGTGAGAGTTGGTCTGACACAATCACTACATAGCAAGCCTCTCGGTCTACGACTGGGCCAATTACAGTGGTAGCAGGATGAAACCATTAAGTGGGCATTAACTTCCCGTTTAAGGGCATCAATTGATGGCAGGATAGGAAAGCCATCCATGGGCCTTCCTAATATGGACTTAATTAGATGGAGCAGGAAGGCATCACAATCCCCACCCACCCACCACCATCCCACCTGTTTAAACATCCTTCTCAACATGGGTGACAGCAATAAATTCCATCATTGTTTTGCAATTTTCAGACCACCTTTCAGAGGAATTCTAGCGTACAGGCTGTCGCTTTCCATTAGATTTCAAATTTGACCATATTTTCATATTCTGGTGTGCACTCACCTTCTCAAGTAGAGAAATACACAGTTGCCCTACACCATCCTTGGCAGCAAGGCAAGAATATCTACTCTTTATTGTTTAAAAAAAAACTTGTAATTCAAACTTGACTGCTCTTAGAGATCTTTAAAACTGAAATAGGAAGAGAATCATTTGGTATGATGCTGCAGTAAACAAAAATAACTGAACAGCCAATAACTAAACAACCACAGGATGGAGGCCAGTAAAACTGGTTCGTCTGTGTTTGACTTAGCATAGATCAATCTAAAACTGAATGCATTTTCTCACGTGCGTCTATATCTCTTCATATTTCTTTGCTTCAACTAATTACACAATTGCCCTAAAATAGAAAAACAATTCTGTATGCCTGATGTGTCAGACTTAATTGTGTCATACACACTTGAACACACTACATTGATAAAACTTCTCTTGATATAAAACATTGAGCCAGTTCTTGCATTAAGTTTGAGTGACACATGACATTTAGGTGTGATTTAGCCAAAATTTGACAGCGAGGAAGTGAGAACTCATGAATTGCAACTTTTTAGCCAATTCCACCTGCAGGTTTGCAAAACGGCAGCCTCTCTCTTTTTCTCTTAATCCAATCTCTCTTTCTCTCTCATCAGTTCTCTTTCAGTACCTGCTTCCACACTGACATCACCCATTCTAATTGATCATCTTCATTAATTAGGTTTCTTTTTCAAATCACAAATCCCATTGGCTAAAAAAGGAGAAAAACTGCTTCCATCATTCACCCGAGCTCCCAGATTTCTTTGTTGAGCCATAAGCATCACACATTAATATAAATTTATGCCCTCCAAAAAAATTAAAAATGGACACATGCACAAGCAAGTCGAATAAATGGGCCATTTCATTCAGCATCCCAATCCAACAAAATGCAGCCCATTGTATCATCCAATTTCCCATAAGCAATATGATGGGAGATCTGTGGGTTCAAGTAAATGTTATTTGTTTCTTACCGTCCGATGATATAACCACTGACTGTGGGAATATTCCAGTGTACCTCCAAGTTCCTGGGTTAGCTGTGTTTTGTCAATGTGACTGTGTAATTCTGTTACTGAATTCAGCATTATGATCTGCAAAAGAAGATCCTCATAAATACACGGAGCACCTAACACAGAAGAATAATCATTCCCTAACTAAAGTAAATCAAACATTCAGCCGTTTACTGAAAATGCCGAATGCTGATTGAACCAAACTAAGTAAACTGGCCAATCGAAAATTTGTTTGCTGCAGTTCCTGAAATTTACCCATTGATAAAATCTGGTTTTGAAAATAATTCTTCTTTAAAAACGTATCATGTTTCAACTGCATCATGCTTATGCCCATTGGTATTACAGTAGGACGATCACAATAATATTACAACTATTTTTTGTTATGTTTTGGGTTTGCAGCTGAGTGCAAAGCTGCAATTGCCAGGCACACATTTTGGCAATACGTCATGACTTGTAAGTTGTGCCCACAAAAGGCAAGAGTTCCTAGCTGGAGCATGGACACAGAATAGCCCAGAAGTACAAACACTACCTCAAAGCTTTCAGATTGCCTGTTATTTGTTATTTTATACAAATACAGCAGAAGATTCCTGGACTTCCCACTTCTTTTCTTTGGCAGAGTCAATATCAGAACATCAGTAGACAAGTAGGATGTCTTATCATCCAGTCACTGCTACTGGTTTAAAAAGTCAGCTCTGAATCAAGAAACTCCTGTTCCAGGCTGATCAACTCCATTCTGAAATCATGCTTATTTGTGAATCCAAATGCAACATGGATACATCAATAGGTGAGAGAAAGACAAAGTAATTCACAGAGTGAAATATGTAAAAGAGTGGTAGGAGAAGAACCAGCTACAACTCACTGCAGCACGTGTTTAGAAGAGATAAATAACTGACTGGCATATATATGAAGATGCTTTTCTTGCAAATAATGGATATGCTTGATAGAGGAGTTCCACTACTTTGATCTGTAACATATGCCAGTCTATGTAGTAAATGTGGTAAATCAGGCAATGTCTGCAACAACAAGGCATCAGGAGTTTGTTCTTGGGGCAGCTCTGGGTCTCGATTGGCAGCTACAGCTATCCATAGGTATCCATAGATACCTTACAAGATGTCCTTAAAGAAGATCAGAACTCTGGAAGTTGTTGATTCTTAGTTCAGACTACTAGGTCCAAATATCCCTCTGCAATATCAGTGTGCTGTCAGGAGTAGTACAAAATAAAACGTTGTCCCAGCAAGTGATCCGGATGCACTTTCCTTCTGACCCCTCTACTGCCAATGTTGGGACCTTTATGCCAGAGAACGGCAACTGAGATGACTTTCACCTCTATCTCAAAAACTCCTTTGGACATGCCTCTTAACCACCTAGTACTCAATAAGCAGTTTGCAGGAAGAGCTTAAAACCATTTTTTGGTAAAAATGATGGGAATACTGAATAGACACAGCAGGAAACAGTAGAAGTCTTGCATAATTTGTGGTAACAATGAAATGTGAGATTTGCTCCTGAAATGGGAGAGACTCAACTGGCTGCCATGGCCATGGTGTGATTTGCTTCCAAAGAGCCAAAGATTTATCGGTTTTGGGGAATAACACTCACTGTGGGGCAATCAAAGAATATTACTCAATATTTCAGGTCTAATATAAACATGCAAATTATTTTTTTATTAACAACGGTTTCTGCTTATTTTCTGCACCTTAACTTGAATGATTGGCGATAGGCTTATCTGGGCTTCATCATCTTATCTATCCTGCTGCCGTATGATCAAGTGATCGCAGATTTTTCTCATTTTCTTATCATCTCACTGAAGGAGCATAATAATTTTGTGCCATTCTCCCGCCTTTATTCAAATCATCATCAAATGCCATTTTGAATGCCTTTATTGAACCTACCTCCATCACATTTCCAGGCAGTGCATTCCAGATCATAACTAATAATTGAATGAAACTTCCCCCCCACCTCCCCTCAATATATTTGTTTCCTTTGCAAATTACTTGGAAAGTCCATGTCCTCACATTCCCTATTTTTTTTAAAAACAAGTGGCACAGTTTCTCCCTATCAACTATGTCAAGTTTCTTATGAATTAGAAAACTTCTATCAAATTCCCTCTTTGGGGTTTTGGCCCAACATTGACTTCCCTGCTCCTCAGATGCTGTCTGACCTGCTGTGCATTTCCAGCGCCATATTTATTGACTCCAGCTTCCAATATCTGCAGCCCCTTACTGTCTCCCTCTTTGCCTTCTGCATTTCAAGGAAACCATCCCAAACTCTTTAATCCATCTTCATAATTGGAGTTTCTCGATCCTGCAAGTAATCTTGCAAACTCTTTCTGCACTCTGTCCCACGTGTTCACTATCACTCCCATCCTAAAGTTCAGGACTCTCAATTGCACACAGTACTCCAGCTGGAGTGATGGGGGATCTTTTCCCCAAGACAAGTTTTTTTAAAGATTCTTGCTAGCCTGTGCTGCAGAGATCCTCAAGGCCTACGTAGACAACAGAAACAGGTCTGTATCCCACTGATTCTGTAATTCAGATGGACATTCTTAAATCCATTCACTCTCGGAAATAATTTTCAAGGCTGAGTCTACAAATACTTCATTTTCCTTTCAAGAAATAGTGTGGAGGCAATGGAAGGATTCCCTGATGGATTAACAGCCTGTTAAACTATGTCATGAATACTCCTTCCATGGTCAACAAGGCACAGGACACAAACCCTGGGGTTTCCGGCCTAGAGGTAGGGATACTACCATTGAACCACAAGATCTCCATTTAAACACAAGGATAAAAATTTTAAAACTAAGACAGTGGGGGATCAGGGCCTAACAAAGATTAAATAGATCAGCAAGAATAGGTTGATTGTGGAGTGTAATTTGGTGGCTTTATACAAGAAACAGAAGTTTAGATGCACTAAAGTTTACAAAGCATGGGAGGATGGGATGGTCATAACCAGGTCCACATTGTGCCTAGATGTGAGGACATTGTGATGAGTTTTTTTAATTGAAGACAACAATGACCTAGAAAACAAAGTCACACTCTCAGGAAATGCCATTTACAAACTTGACTAGGGCCTTTTCGATATTGTGGAACTGATTAACTTGACTGAATGGATTCAAATGGGTTGCTGTGCAAGAGATTGGCATAGATTTCAAAGGCAGAATGTTCAAGGACTTAGAGATGAAAGAGGAGTAGAAAGTGGGCCAGTAGTTTACAAGGAGCCAAGGGTAGGTCTTTTTTAAGGAAGGGGGGATAACATAGATTTTGAAGGCAGGAAGATCTGCACTTGAAGTTGGAATCCCTTACAATGTCAGATATAATGAGACCCAGGAAAGGAATATGGGTAATTAGCAGCTCGTTGGAAATTGGATCAAGGCAGCACCAGGTGGGAACCATATCTAGGCTAAGTTTGAAGTGGACGTGGATGGGGAAGAGTTAGAAAACTAGGAGTGATGCACGATCAGTGAAAACTGCAGACCTGGGAACAAATTTGACTTCTTTGGTAAGGGAAAGCAGGGAAAAACAAGAGCAGCTAAAAGTCTGGTCAAACAGAAACATTATTCATTAATGACTCTGATCAAACCATCTTGAGGTATATTAATAAATAACAGCCACATCTGTTAGATATTAAAACTGCTGAGTGACGAGCATTTTAATTCAAAACATTTTCAAGTTCAAGCTAGAAATGTTCTCGTGTATCTGCAGTACCCAAAACACATACAGCTGCCTGTGCTAGGGTTGCTAATGTGATTTTATCAGGCATAGCAAGCATTTACAGCCAAAAGCCACCAGGTGGAGCCTACTTAATTTTTTTGGCTGATTTAAATCGCTAAAGTGGTCTGTCAATATGGCTAACATTACAAATTCTGCTCACAATGATATGGCATACCGATGGTGAACACAGTGGTAATGCACACCCGCTGTTCCCCTTCAAAACTTATTTCATATGTTGGACAGAATTGTGATGCATAGCTTACTTAGCTTAGTGATCATTTTCCACTTTACATTAAAGAATACTGACAAAACAGCTGCAACATTAAAACGATGAATAAACAGTCAATCTTAATGAGGTCAGAAATCACACGACACCAGGTTATAGTCCAACAGGTTTATTTGAAAACACAAGCTTTAGGAGCCTCAGTCCTCCTTCAGGTGTTAGTCGTGTGATTTCTGACCTTGTCCACCCCTGTCCAACACCGGCACCTCCACATTAATCTTAATGAGACAGGTGAAACAGTAACATTAACCGTTTATAACAATGGCCAAACAATCACATTATGCTGTTATACATATGGAGTTAGGCCACTGATCAGCTATGATCTCATTGAATTTTGGAACAGGCTCACAGGGCTGAATGGCCTACTCCTGTTCCTATGTTGCTATGTTCTCCAACCTCAGGTTAAAATCAACTCACCACTGTTTTTAGCTTAGTCTGCTAGAACATCTCCAGCAGAAGGTGGGACTGATGATAAAAACACAAAATCTTACAGTATCAAATTCTGCGTTCACAAAGTACTTCATAAAAAAATTCTACTTTATATACTTAAGTAGATTTCAGCCAAAAACTTTCCACATTCCATGTAATCAGATTGCAATGATCTCTCTCTGCACAGACACACACCTTACCACTCTACCTTCCACCCTATATTAATTAATGAGATAGTAAGAACTGCTGATGCTGGAGTCTGAGATAACACAGTGTGGAGCTGGAGGAACACAGCAGGCCAGGCAGCAGAGAAGCAAGAAAGCTGACGCTTCTGAAGAAGGGTCCCAACCCGAAACATCAGCTTTCCTGCTCCTCTGATGCTGCTTGGCCTGCTGTGATCCTCCAGCTCCCCACTGTGTTATCTCTAGATTCATTAATGCTATTTCCTGCACTCTATCTCCTGGTTATTCACTCATATCATCTTTGCCACCCAGTTTCTCCACCTTGCTCAAACGTGGGACAGCTGGAGTGAAAAAGCAATGAAAAGAATCTAGACCCTTGAAATTGAAGTCTGCCATTATAAAACCATAAAGTCTATTTGTACATATTCGAGCTTACTAACAGCACATCATTACTGCTTCATCTGAACACGCCTGATAATTTTAAATACAGGCACTGTTGCTAGCATAAAACAATATCAACACCGAGTATGCAAAAAAAAAAATCAGGGATCTATCATAATATAAAATTCAAACTGGACTGTCATGGTACACGATTCTTTTGAAGAAAAACATTTGGAACACATTCTTCAAACAAGATTACATTACTTTATCTAAATAAACTTTGAAAGAAAACAAAGATTTAGATTATGAAATATTAGTGCTATACAACGTTAAGCTTATTATTAGTTTCCTCATTCAAGTAGCATTTTGCTCAAAGAAAACAGAATAAATCAATATTGTAAGGAAGAATAGAAATGACTTCCCTGTTTGCCTTCTCATATCATAGAATCACAGAATCCCTACAGTGTAGAAACAGGCCCTTCGGCCCAACAAGTCCACACCGAATCTCAGAGCATCCCACCCAGACCCGTCCTCAGTAACCCACCTGATCTGCACATCCCCGAACACTACGGACAATTTAGTATGGCCAATCCACCTAACCTGCACATCTTTGGACTCTATTTCTAACTATTTCTTGGTAAACTGACAGGACTCCTGCGACTTCTACTTGTATTCTTAAACTGGCTGCTGCGAGGTGTGTGACAAGAAATCAGATCAAGTTGCTTTTCAATTTGACTTGCTCTGTAACATAATTGGCATATTTTCTATACAACCTGGTTAAAAAAAAAAATCACAAAATCGATTGTAAGGAAAGGTTTGGCCATATATTCTGCCGTTAGTTGACTGGTTCCTGGCACGTTTTCCTCCTGACTGCCGGATTAATATCCCAAAATTGCATGGCAACAAATCATAAAAATCAAGTCCAATGCACGAGATTATTAGTTAGCATTATGCTTCTAAAAATATCATTCTCCCTCTTCTCTAGATATTTCCATGTAATTTTCAGGCAAGCATTAATTTGGGTATTTGTGACATTTACTAACGTGTTCAGGTTGCTAGAAGAAGCTTTAATGTGTTTAGTTTACCAGCTTGTTCGTTCAGTAAATTTTATGTCACCTCCTGGTGTTTGATTCCATTTGGTGTCCAGCCTCATGGACAATGAAGCCTCAGGGTGACAACTGCCTTTTGAAATGCAATGTCTCTGCTGCTCCTCATCACGCACCATTTGTCAGATTGGCAGCAGATGTAGCAGACAAATGCTGAATGACAGTTCCATGGGACGTAGCAAGGGTGGGGAAAAATATAAATCAAAGTGTAGAGTTCTGTTTTCCAAAAAAACTGAAATTTCACCAAACATTTTTCATTCCTGTAAATACAGATCAAAGGCTGGGAATTCTGCAGTAAGCAACTCATCACCCGCCTCCCCATAATCTGTCTGCTATCTAGAAGGTGCACGTCAAGAGAGTGTGATGGAATACTTTTTTTTTCCCCCGACAAGTTCAGTTCCAACAGCAGTCAAGATGCTCAACACCATCCAGGGCAAAGCAGCCTGAGATGATTGGTGCCCCATCTAACATTTTAAACAGCCACTTCCTCCACCATTGGTACACAATGATACCATGTAACAAAAGACAGTGTAGCAGCTCGCTAAATCTCCTTTGACAGTACCCTCCAAACCCATAACCTCTACCACAGAAAGCCAGGGCATCAGACGCATGAGAATGTTACCAATTGCTAGTTCTCATCCAAGTCACACACTGTCCTTACTTGGACTAAGTCATTACTCCTTCACTGTTGCTGGGTCAAGCTTCCTTCCTAATAGCTAAATGGGGTACCTACACCAGATGGACTGCAAAAGAATAAGTTGGCAGCCCATCAACACCTTGACACAGTCACTTTGGTTGGGAATCAAATGTTGGCCTTGCCAGTGATGACAACTTGCCATGATTTACTTTTAAGAAAGCCAACAGTTTGGCAAATATAATTTTGAACTGTGATGACATTCGTTATCGGATTGGGAGGGGACTGTTTGTTCTGCAAAGCAGATAAAGGTGCATTTTGTTCTCACAAAAGCCGTCTATTGCTTATGACTGGCCAAGGTGTCACACCAGTTCCTTTTAGTATTTCCTTTTCTCGAAGCAGGGGAGCCCGCCACCAGTCTAGCAAGCCCCATACAGCTCCAGCCTTACACTTCCCCGACCTACAGGCTGCCAGGTACTATTCTAGCTTCAACACCCTGCGTCTACTGGTCAAGTGATCAGTCAGTCTGTCAATCAGATGGGAACAACAGGGTTCCCGCGTTCAGAGGCTCTGCACTCACTGTCAGCATCCACCACACCCTTCCCATCTCCTGATTAATATTGGCTCCATTGATTTTAAATTGGGCACTGAGTTATATACACATAATTGGCCACGTTTAACCCTATTTCACCTGAAGACTATAATTAGTTTTATCTCCTCTTGTACAACACTATGCACGATCAACTGGGGCATCATTTAGCAAGTCTGGTTTAAGCAGAAACCTTTGGTAATATTGGGACCAAACTTTCAGTGGCTTAAAAAAAAAATGATTATCTGCTCAACAATCACATCTATTTGAAAAATCGAACTTACAGGTACTTTTAGCTTAAAATCATCTCGATTAAATCTCAGGACAATGTCAGAGATAGCTCTTTGAAAGATTCCTGAGGGTCGAAGAACGAGAACCAATTGAAGATTTCCCGGGAATGATCCCTAGAAGGAGGGAGAAATCACAGGCCATTAGAAACAAGGGTATCAGTAAACCATTCACCCCATCAAGCTTGCTTTGCCATTCAAAACAATCATTACATGTATTTGGCTTCAAAACTATTGTTAGCGTTTGCTGAATCCAGTTCCCCGAGAGACCAAAATCCAACTCAGCCTTAAATATATTAAAATAATGAAAAATCCACAGCCAACTGCAGAAGGGAATTCCAATGATTCAAAACACTTCCAGTGATAAAGATAATTCCCCGAAAGTGGAGACAGACTTGCAGATGCCAACAGTTCGGGGAATGGATCTGGGTGGGATGCTCTTCAGAGGGACGGTGTGGACCCGTTGGGCCGAATGGCCTGTTTCCACACTGCAGGGATTCTATGATTCAGTTGGTAAAATGCCTTATGCTGGCAAAATGTCTCAGTTTATTTGTTGGTAATAGGTTTGAGAATGAACGTTTATACAATACAACAGCACCAAGTTTTTTTTTTCCCCCTCAGAGTGCACAGAATAGAGAGAGAGAGAGAGAGAGAGAGAGAGAGAGACACAGAGGAAAGTAGTAACACATTCGTATAACATCTTCCATGTACTTAGCGTGTCCCAGAAGTAAGTACTTTAAAAGAATGGGTACTGCAATAAAAGGGAAATGGGCAGCCAATTTGTAGACATTGAGATCTAACAAACAGCAATACAATAAACGACCAAAGTGCTTTTTTGATGGTGGTGGATGGGGGATAAATGCTGGTTATGGCACCGGAGAAATGCCTTGCTCTTTTCAGAATAACGTCGTAGCATCATTTACATCCAGCCAAACAGAACAACAAGAACGAACTAGAAACATACAGTAGGTGAGCCAACACTTGGAAAGATAATGTTAGATCAGAGCCTTCCATCAGTAGCTACACGTTCCTGCTCTTAACTGCACATTGGCTGGGGTTTCCTCATGTGCTGCATTCAATTGTTGGTGCGACACAAAGCAACTACACCAACTGGCAAATAAGCTTGCTTCAATGCATCTATAACGCATCCTCTTAGTGTAACTAATGTCTTGAATAAGTCAGCAGTGATTTTAAAATATAAATTTCTGAACTCTCCCTCACCCAACTCTCATTTCTCAAAAAAATCCTTGAGTACACAACTACTGGGTACTAATAACAGCAGTGTCTCTCTGTGCAACAGACCTACCTTCGCTCCACTACCATTACGAGTCCGAATGGTGAGTACTGGCTGCTATGTGACTGTTGGGACAAGTTGTCAAAACTGCTCCAGTTCTCCAGCAAGACACACAAATGAATATTTTCAATGCACCGAGGTGTGCAAACTGTTGTCTTAGAAAATCCTTGCCCCAGTCCCAAATCAATTATGTTAGGCCATTCTCGATTGAGATCAGGCAGCACTGCTTCAAACAGAAGGTAGTAGGATACTGGGACTCTCTCTCCCAAATGGATGTAGATACTGAATGTCTATAAAGACTGCGATTAATAGATTTTGAAATGTAGGTACTCTATGTAAGTGGAGCCAAGGTAAAGGTCACGAATTATCTAGCTGCACAGCACAGTTTGCAAAGATGGCTGAATTCCTACATCAATAGAGTTCTATATGTGGCCTGTGATGTGACCATCCTGAAAGTTACGGCATCCGCCTAGAGACTCGGTATATGCAGAGCTTGGAAGAAATTTGAAGCCAGTTGTGCAGACCTTGCAGTTGTTAATGTTAGAAGTTCACTGGAACACCCAGTGAACTTTAAATGGTGTGGCTTCTCTATCTCAATAGATCAAATTTGAAACCAACTGCAAAATTTTCCTGAGATCCCTGTCAGAAGCCACAAATGAAAAAAGTGTTGCAATCTCCCACAGTAGAATCCCTGCCCGTTCAGTGCTTAGCACCCACAAAATATAAAATAAACTGGGCAGGAATTGCATTTTTATATTCACAGTATCGCAAGAATATATCATAAATTCGCACCTGTGAAACACAGAAATGGTTTGATAGTTCAGTCAATGAAAGCAATACATAGCAATGACAAAATTAGTGTTACAGCACACCTTATGTTACTGATATTGACTGTGCCCAATTTAAATAAAATCAAGAAATCTTTTATTGAATGATTGCTTCTCAACATGTACTAAAGGAATCAGGTCATTGTAACTGCTTTACAAATAGAGCGAAGTCAGTAGTTCTGCCCTACCAGCAGGAAAATGTTGTATCATTGTTTTCAACTTCTGAGACATGCTTTCTTTGAGAAAGTGGGAGCAATAAAATTATCCTGTACATTTTCAGCATTACCTTCGTGACCCTCATGAAAAGTCTGGCTCTTGAAGTCAGACCAAAGCAGACCATTGGACCACCTCAGCACAAAAAAAGGGTACCTCTGGCTAAAGATGAGAAAGCACACAGGTCCCCTTCCCACTTGGCTGTCATTTCATGCTTATTATTCAGCAGCTTTCTTTAAGGTAAGACTTAAAAGCTACTGAAACCTGGACTACAATGAAACTCACCGTGATTCGTAGTAGTGATGCTCTCACGGAGGACCATTTGTCTTGCCTCCTATCCACAAGCAGAATAAATCCAATGTTACCATCTTGAAAGCTGAGAGGAGGAAATTTCAGGAACAAAATTTAAATTTTTTAACAACGTGCAGCTTCGCTTGCATAAAGTCAAGCCCCTCAGCCACTGACTCTCCAGTTGAAAAATCCACCTGGATAATAAAGGTTTCTTTCACAGGCCTTAATTCTGGCTTCAAATCCACCACTTCAAACATTAGTGAGGAACAGATTGCTGCCAAATTCAAATCATGACCAAAGTCACAGGAGCAAAGCATATTCTAGTTTACATCACCCATTGTTATATACCACAAGTTTATAGTTGTTGATAAAGGCACATGTTTCGGGAAGTTTATAAGAAATTAGAAATCATACTTTTCAGAAAGACACAAGAAATGCCTCCCATGAGGACAGCTGACTCCTTAGAAAATGGAACAGTTGCACTTCACAAGCGAGAAGCAGGGATATCATCACTGTTCACATCACATTAACTGTAAACAGAGGTCGTATAGGCTGTGGAGCTGTGATCTGTCAGAAACTGTTTCACTTTTCTGCATCATTCAATCACGCGTGTCACACATCAAACTGAACTAAGGAATCTATAAACCCCAGTCCTTGTAAGTCGGAGGGAATTGTACAATGCCAGCAAGGTGGTTTCAAGCCAATTACAATTGGAATATAAAAGGAGACAGCCTAGCACATTATCAGTAAGCAAATACTTAGAATTTTAATTCTATAACACTGATCCAAAATTTAGACATGAGATATCATTTCTCCATTGGATTATTTCATTGCAAAATTCTGCTTCTGTATCCATAGGGTGCAAAACTAGATAACAGCAGCTGTGGGTATGAGGCACTCACTGCAGATTTGCCCAATAATAAAATCCCCCTACTTTAAAATTTCGATTTGCCTTATAACATGGTCTTCTTTTCTTGAACAGCCGTGTAGAAAAAAATATCCTCCTTCTTTACATTTCTAAATTCAAGCGAAAAGATGCTTGCTGTTTCATTTAAACAAGCCTGCTATGTAGACTTGTGATTCATCTATATATATTTAGTATCATTTATTTCAGTTGGTGTTTTTGAATTAGTGACAGATGGGCTTTTCTGTGCGCTGGAAGGATTTAATAATTAGTAAGTACATCTATAGTCATGGCGATATCTTTTAAAACACAGAGGGCTAATATGGCCATACAACCATATGAGATGGGAACATGAGTTGGCTGTTCGGCCCCTCAAGCTTGCTCTGCTATTTACCAGCATCATGGATAATCTGACATTCCTCACATCCACTTTCATGAATTTCTCATTAATCCTTGATTCACAGAGTGATCAAGAATCTATCACAACCTTAAATATATGCAAGGATTCTGCCCCCACAGCTTTCTGTGGCAAGGAGTTCCAAAAACTCTGCATCTTCGGAAGAAAGTTCCTCCTCATCCCAGTCTTGAATTAGTGCCCCTTAATTCTGAGACTATACTCTCTAGTCCTGGACTCTCCCATTATTCTTCCAAACTCCAAAGAGTACAGTCCCAACCTGTTCAGCCTTTGCTCCATTCCAGGGATCATCCTTTTTAAACATCTCTAGTGATTATCCTAGCGAATTGCCTTAATGACATATCATTCCTTAAACAAGGAGACCAAAACAGCTCGCAGCACTCCAGATGTGGTCATACCAACACCTTGTACAGTTGTAGAAAGATTTCCCTGCTCCATTACACCAACCTCTTTGAAGTAAGGGCCAACCTGTGTGCTAGCTTTCTAACTTTTGCGCACAAACTCCCTCAAGTCCTGTGTGTTGCAGCTTTTAGCCATTTGAATAATATTCTGTTCTTTTGTTCTTCCTTCCAAAATGAACAATTTCACATTTGTCCATATTATAATCTTTTTGCCAGTTTTTTTGCCCACTTAACTAAC